TATGTTTGAAGAAAATCAACAAACTGAAGTTTCAACCAATCAAAATGAAGTACTACATGTGTGAAATGTTAGAAGATCGACTAGACCAAGAGCTGAGTCAACAAAGCTAGTCGAATATGAGAGATTCCAGATCAAGCAGTCGATGCTGATGGTGACTTAATAGAAGAAGCAATGATGATGGCTAAACCATAACCAATAAATTTGGGTCAAGCCACGAATGATTCAGATTTTTTAGCAACCATGAAAGAAGAACTAAAGTCAATCAAGAAGAATGAGACCTGTGAGCTTAACCAAAAGTCAATCAAGAAGCCATTTGATGTGAAGTACGTTTACAAGCTGAAATGAAGGTTGAATGGAGAAATTTTCGAGCATAAGGAAACACTAGTGGCGAGAGGTTTTATGCAAAAACCTAGTATTGATTTCAAAGAAGTCTATGCACCTATTGCAAGGCTAGAGACAATAATAATTGTTTTGTCAACGAAAATATACAGAGGGTGGAAGATACATCATTTGGATATAAAATCAACATTTCTGAATGGCCATATAGAAAAAGAAGTCCATGCCAGTTAACCACCATGATTCAAAAAGGACGGGAGTCAAAGGTATACAGATTGAGGAAGACTCTATATGGTTTAAAGCAAGCTCGAAGATCTTATAATAAGAGAATATATAGCTTCCTGATCAAAGCAGGTTCCACAAAGTGTGTCTCTGAACATGGATTGTATATGAATGATGTAGGCAAGGTCATTCGAATCTTCATATACCTGCATGTAGATGATTTGTTAATCACAGGTTCAGATGAAACAGGGATAAGAAGAGTCAAGTCAAAGCTGATGCAAAAATTTGAAATGTTTGACCTAGAGAAATTTTCATATTTCTTATGGATGAAATTCAAAGACGCAAGTGAATGAGTGTTCTTGTACCAAAAGAAGTATGCCTAAGATACCTTGAAGATGTTCAAGATGAAAAATTGTAATGCAACTACTACGCCATTAGAAATTAGAGCAAAGTTGAGGAAAAAGACAAATGGTGAGTTTGTAAGTGCGAAACTATACAAACAAATCATTGGATCCTTGAGGTGCCTTTGAAATAATAGGCCAAACATTTGTCAAAGTGTCAAATTGTTGAGTATATTCATGAAGAAACCCCAAGAATGTCATCTCACTACAGTTAAGAGGGTGTTGAGATACATAAATGGCATGATTGATCATGGTGTACTGATGACAAGACAAAAGAAGACAAGCATAAATGCAGAAGTATATGGCTACACTAATTAAGATTTTAGTGGAGATCAAGATGAAAAAAAGAGTATTGCGGGCTACATATTCATGATCGAAGACGCTCCAATCTAATAAAGCTTAAGGAAGAAGAACATTGTGGCTTTGTCATCATGCGAATTTGAGTACGTGGATGCATCATATGTAACGTGTCAAGCAACATGGATAAAGATGGTCTTAAAAGAACTAAATATCAAGGAACTTGGAAAAATGAAGTTGTTTGTCGACAACAAGTCAGCTATCGACCTAGTGAATCGCCCAGTGTGTCATGGTTGAACTAAGCATATAGAAATACGGTATCATATTTTGAGGGATCAAGTTAACAAAGGAAAGTTTGAACCTGAGCATTGCAAGACAGAATGACAACTAGCTGACATACTCACCAAACTCTGAAGAAAGTCAGGTTCGACGAGTTAAAGAGAAGCAATAGGATGAGAAGTCTCGATAATATGAATTAGGGGTGTGTTAGAAGTTGTAATTTAATTTTCTATCAAAATCTAGCATTTCACTATGTCGAAATATCTAGTCTATGGTATAGGAATAAGCAGTATCCGACTCTGTCGAATACAATATTTAGTTGGCATGTAGAAATGTTTTGGCCATATGTCGAATTGTATATTTTTAGGCTTGGTCTTTAGTTGCTTATATAAGTGGCTTTATATTAAGTAAACGAGGAAAACTTCCCTCAATACAAATCCTAATTTTACATAATTCAGTATACAATTTTCTCTCTTTTCTTTCTTCTTCTCCTTCTTCTTCTTTTTTCATCTTTCTTGAAAACATTTGTTCTAACAATTCTTAGAATAATTTATAATATATTTTAATACATAATATAAATATGAAATTACTCCCTCCGTCTCATAATGAGTGACCTATTTAAAATAAAAAATATTTAAAAATAAATGATTTATTTTAATTTTCATTTTTTTTTTAATTTTACCCTCTAATTAATATTATTTTCATCGTTTTCAATGTTTAACAAAAAATATTTTATTAAAAATATCATTATTTTTTTCATTTGTTTATTTTTAATCTTTGTAAAATAATCTACTAAGTCACTCATTATAAGACAGAGGAAGCATAAAATAATATTTAAAAAAATTAAAAAAATTCAAATAAGTCATGATAAATTAAAGAATTCAAATAAATCAAGATATATGCTCTATAACAAAGAAAGAAAAAGATATAAAAAGAAAAGATTATGAGTGGTCAAATGTTAAAAAAAGGACAAGATGTATTTTTGGTAGTTACTAAATTTTATAATTTATATATAGATATAGCTAAAAGCCAATGTTGAGTCATTGACATGTGACAACCTGCGGCACTAGGAACCTAAAAGTCAATGAATCTTTCTTAATAATCACAAACACATATATATATATATATATATATATATATATATATATATATATATATATATATATATATATATATATATATATATATATATATATATATATATATATATATATATATATATATATATATATATATATATATATATTGATCAAACAAGCACAATCACATTAAACAGAACTGCTCTATCTATCTCATCGATCCCTTAATATGATGTCGGGCTCAGAACTGATACAGAAGATACAAGATTTAACCATGAATGCCAAACATCACCAGTTGGAGACACTTCACTCAATTCTTCTTCACAATTCATCTTCACACTATCTTCAATCTTTCTCCAGTAACAATACTCCTCTTGACCCTTCCACTTTCACAAGTCTTATTCCACTCTCTTCCTATGAAGATTACGTTGACTTTATTCAACAAATGGCTGATCATCATCATCATACAAATCATCACCCTCTTCTCTCTGTTGATCCTCTTCTATGTTTCTTCTACAGGTATATTATATATCTCACCTTTTAACTCTCTTCATTTCAGTGTATTACTCACTTGTACATGATTGTGACCTTTTCTTTCTCAGCTCAGGAACTACCTCCATGAAGCCAAAACTCATCCCTTACTTTGATTCAACACTTTCAAAAGAAGCATCTTTTATAGCTCACACAGGGAGTATTGCTGTTCTTCACAGGTAAATCATGCTAAAATTTTTAAAGATTTTATGTTTGTTGTTTAACAATGAGGTTATATTCGAAAATTTCATCATGCAGCCAATTTCCTCCAAGGCCAAATATCAACAAGATCCTGTTGTTTCTCTATGCTGACAAAATTACTACTACAAGTAAAAGTGGCTTAAAGGTTATGGCAGCCTCTTCATACCCTTTACAAAGTGGTAAAGTATCTTCTACACAGCTTTCCAGGTTTTCTAGTCCCATACAAGTTATGCTAGGATCTAATGTTAATCATCAAATGTATTGTCATCTTTTATGTGGCCTTAGAAACGTTGATATTATAGATGGAATTAGTACTCCTTATGCCATAGGTTTGATTAAAGCATTTGGTTTTTTGGAGTCCAAGTGGGAGCAGCTATGTCATGATCTTGATTGTGGTTATCCATGTCATGAAATTTCTGATTTGGAAATGAGAGAAGGTGTAATCAACACACTTGGTGGTCCTCAACATGAATTGTCGGCTAGAATAAAATTAGTTTGTGCAGATAAGAATTGGGGTGGGATTGTACCTAGGTTGTTTCCGAATGCTCGGTTTATCAGGTGCGTTACGACAGGAAGCATGATGCAGTACTACCAAAAGCTTAAGTTTTATGCAGGGGATGTACCGATTCTAGGAGGAGATTACTTTGCTTCTGAGTGTTGTGTAGGTTTAAATTTAGACTTAACGCAACCACCCGAGACAACACAATTCGTCATACTACCTACTTTTGCATACTTTGAGTTTCTTCCATTTGAGATGAATGATAATGATGAAGATGTTGTCGGCGAACAAACAGTAGACCTTTGCAGCGTTGAGGTTGGGAAGATGTATGAAGTGGTTGTTACTACTTACCGGGGATTTTATCGATACAAATTAGGCGATATAGTTAGAGTTGTTGGTTTCTATAATTCATCACCTCAAGTGGAATTTGTGATGAGGGCACCTAAGTCTTCCGCTGAGATTATAACTGAGAAGGATTTGATTTCAGCAGTTGAGAACTTTCAAATTGCACTTAGAGAAGCTATGGGAAAAGACTCAATTGATATTGTTGAGTTTGCAAGTTTCTTGGATCAGGAGCCGATGTCGAAGCAGTTGAAGGTATTCGTAGAAGTTCAAGAGGAATCTGAGTTCTTGGAGGAATGGGTTAAAGTGTTTAAAAGTTGTATTTCATCTCTTGAGAGTGGTTTGGGAGCATTGTACAAGGTGCAGAAGGAGAAAGGCCATATAGGGAAGTTAATGATAACGATCCTAAGACATGGAGCTTTTGAGAAGTTATCAGATTTGGCGATTAAGAATGGAACATCAGCTAGTCAATATAAGCCACCAAAGATTATAAGGAATAATCAAGTTGTCAAACTCTTGGAAAAACTAGCTTTTATTACAGTATCAATGGATTGAATGTGTAGCAGTACCTCAATGTTCAATCTGTCACATATTTAAACATGACGTTCAAAATGAGCTTAGTTGCTTTTTACAATAATAAAATGTCTTGTAATTGAAAGATGAGTTGCTCATGTAGACATGAGTTGCTTCATAAACAATAATGAATTCAATAATCAAATATAGAACCAATCTAACTATAAAAAATAGGCTTGTTATTTAATCACCAACTTGCTTCCTTTGTTGTTCCATCCAACATTGCAAACTGCAAAGTTGTTACGCGTTGATGGCTGCCTGTAATTGTTCAAGGCTTTTACCTTTGGTTTCTGGAACTGCTACAACTATAAACAATATAGCTAGTGCATTGATTGCAGCATATAGAATGAAGGTACCTGAAAATCATGATTACAATGTAAAAATGCAGGTTCTATAAGAATGCTTATCATTCCTCCATTCAATGAAAGCTGCAAAATAATGTATTTACCATAGGAGCTCCAACTCATGAGAAAGTTGAAAGTATAGGAGCATAACCATGCACCAAACCAGTTCACCAATGTGGCTATGCTTCCTGCCTGTCCTTTAATATTCACAGGAAATATCTGCAACACAGTAATATTTCAGCAAAATTTGTGCCATCTTTTTGCCAAGAAAATCATAAAATTCTGATATAGCAAATTTTTTTTATAACTGACGAATTCAAAGGGATCGGGGTGTACCTCGGACATCACAACCCATGGAACTGCTCCCATTCCTATTGAGAAAGATCCTATGTAGACCTAATATCATATAGAGTAAATGTCACATGGAGAATGCATTTGTATTTCGGAGAATGAGATACATAAAACAAAACAAAAAAAAGCATCAACAGAGAAAGGGTATAGTAGCCATACGAGTATGCCGGTTACAGCAAGTGCTGGGACTGCCCCTAAGCCCACATTATGAACCTGTTACTCACAAGGATAGATATCACTTTTACATAAATATTAGGATCAAAAACTCGACGCCATAATGTTCATAGTTGAAATGTACCTTAAGATAGAATGCAACTGCTGTAAATAAACATCCTGCAACCAATCCCGATCCAGACGCCTAATGAAACCAAGAAATTTCAATAAAACTACCATACTCATACTTATACGAAGAGGATAAGCAAATGAAAATTTGAAGTTACCAAAAGTAGGGGCTTCCTTCCAGCTTTATCTATGAGGGCTGCTCCAGCACCTGTTATTATAATCTGCGAAATTAATAAACATGACTCCGTTAGTTTGAGAAAAAAAAATTGAACTTTCTAAGGACTGCTAGTTATGTTTAAAAAAAGAACCTGAAGAATCGCATAAATTATACTCCCGGTTGCAGAAGGAAATCCTATGACAAAATACACAAAAAAAAACAAAATAAATTTTATTCAAATTTTAAAACATGATTTCAAAGTGAACTATAGGTTATATAAATAGTGCCAGACTTTGGAGGATAAGTTACAATTACATAAGTACCTGCTAGATCAAAAATACTACTAGTATAAAAGCAAACTCCATTAATTCCCCCAAATTGCTGGCAAACCATAAGTCCTATTCCAATCTGCCATATCAAAATCGGTTATCTGTAGTTCTTTCTTTGTATTTGCTTGGATTGAAGAAAAAATCAGAAGGTTTAAAATAAACTATCATTTTCAAAACAGTACTTTATTTTTCACCTCTCTTAAAGAAAATGAAATGATATCAAAAGTGGAATTATAGATGCGTACTGTAAGCGAGCGCAGATATCTTCTTTGAAACAAATCCAGCATCTTCGGTTTCGCAAGAAGTTCTAAACTAGTTATATAATCCTGCGTGTCAGTGACAGATACACAAACCTAACTGCATTATATTTTGAATGCTTTGTTTTTAGTATCGTGCATGATAGCAAAGTCACAAACATATAGTAACCTGAATTTCGGCGGCTTCTTGAGATATATCAGCATCTTTACCGCGAAGTATTTGCAATGCTGCCACAAAATCTTTTGCGCGTCCTCTCTTTGCCTACAGTCATTATTTAGTCGGTTTTTTAAGTACTCTACGTGTTGGGTTAATAACCACTTCATATTTTCCTCAAAAAATAATGATGGGAATTTATTTCTTACAAGCCATCTAGGAGACTCTGGAATGAAGAACAGACCCAAAAGCAACACAGCGGTAGGAATCAGGCCTGCAATTGCAAGCATGTATCTAGTACCGAAAAGCTTCAATTAATTTATAATGTTCGAATTGGGAAGAAAACTGACCAATTATCGCTAAAGCTCTCCACGAAAGTACTGTTCCAATTATGAATGAGACAGATACAGCAGTAACAATCATAAACTACAAAAGAAGAAGAAAAACTAACTTATATGGCGTTACTACTACCTTCATTGCAAATACTTATATCTTATTTATTTTAATGATCATAGAGTTACAATGTGCAGCAAATATATACTTGATTTAAGGTAGTGAGGGCTCCTCGAAGTTCTTTTGGCGCAATTTCTGCTACGAAGACAGGAACCACAAATGAAAAGACTCCCATTCCATATCCTGTTGCTAGTCTCCCAACATCCAAAGGAATTGGACCCTAAATATATATACATAAGAGATAAAGAAGAAAGCTCAGTTAATCCTTGGAGAACAGTTATAACAAAAAAAATCACATAGGTTTTGTAGCAAAAAACCTTAGAGAAATAAATAACAAGCCATCCAGCAATGCAGAAAGCACTTGATACTCTCATTGCCTGCATTTATATTCCAAAACCAACTTTTTATGAATTCCTCAAACAATAAAGATAATTAATGATTTGGAAGCTAATTTCAAAACAACCATAATCATTTTCCTGTAATTACCCCCTTTCGACCAACGAAATCAGCAATTGGTCCACTTGTTATTGCGCCAATCATCGCACCGAAAGTCAAAATGGAGCCAAACAAGGAGTACTGCATTCATTCAATCAGCAAACACCAATACATCAAATCCATCACAGGAATCAAATCCACTAAGAAGGAAATAATACAAACATTTTTATTGCATGATAATCACGAGTTTGCTACTAAAAAAATGTACAGTCGGTATTTATTTGAAATATTTTCAGTTCATTTCCCATGCTTTCATTAATCTAAGGATAGTGAGGTTAAATCAAACTTTGAATAATTTGTGGCTAACCTCTGCCAAAGACAGACTAAGATCCTTCCTGATAGCATCTTGAGTTGGAGATGAATATCCAGCCTAGAAAATAATAAAAAAAGTACTTATTTTTGGTGATTTTCAACTATAGAACAGATTTATAAGTAAAACATAGACGTGGTAAAGACTTACACAAGCACCAAACTCATAAGAACCACAAACAGCAATGAATGTGGTGAAGTAAACCATCCATGGATGATTATGATCTTTGGTTCCATGATGAAGTTGGTTGTTGTTTTCTCCTAACAATGGTTCTGTTATTATTTTGTGCTTACCACCTTCAACATCCTCTTTGATTTCCATCTTCATTTTCCTACCTTTGTTGTGTGTATGATCTAAGTTCCTTGGAAGTAGTGATGAGTAGGATAGTGACTCACTTTGTTTAGGATTGGTCAAAGAAAACAACCTCAAAGTTTCAAAGTACAGATCCCTTAATTATTGGTTCCTGTCCTGTCACATGCAAATTGTTCCAAAAACATACATCAAGAAAACAAATGCAATACGTATATTTTAAAACCTATTCATATTTTTATTAATATTCTCTCTGATTTTTAATATAAAAAAATTAATTTATAAATTTATTGAATATAGTGATTATTCAATGAATTAAAAGAAACTGTTTATAAATCAAAGAAAGCATAATATTGATTTTGAATTTTTTTAATAATATTTATTAACTTAATTTAATCTTTTTTTAAAATATTCATTAATAGAAGAAACTAAAAAGAATGTTGTTGACAGAAATACCAACAAGTTACATCTGTATAACTTAACTAATATATATATATATATATATATATATATATATATATATATATATATATATATATATATATATATATATATATATATATATATATATATATATATATATATATATATATATATATATATATATATATATAATTAATCATATCATTTTTGTAAATATATTATTTTTTACATAAATTTACTCTTTATCATTAATATTAATAAAAAATGTACAAAAATAATTTGAATAAAATCATATATAATTAAATATTTTCAATAATAAACTGAACTGAATTATCATGAATTATTTATTATTAAATCAAATGATTGTTTTACCAATTGTTGTGAGAACACATCTATGAGTAGATTTAAATGGATATCCATGAGGATGAATACTATGACATCCATATATGTTTTGTTTGATAAATATGATATTCATATCCGTTTTATGTCTATGCAAATATCTATGAAGCAGGTAATCTGCATGTTTTACGATATCTGTGAGTAATTACAGATATCCATAGATAATACTTTTTTATAAAATTAATTTTTGAAAAAAATATTTTTAACTTTTTTAAAGACATAAAAAGTTATTATCACATAACATTCATACAATTCACTCTTAACTTAATAATAAAATTTCATCATATTAATTTTCTTCTTATTCACCAAAACATAATTAGATTCAAACATAATATTCGTACCTTTCATTTTTAACCAAACAAATAAAATATATTGTGATTATGAGTTATGATGGAAGAACGGACAACAGAAGAGTAGGAATGAAGACATTGGTTCGATAGAGAGGAATGACAATACTAATTGGTTGGACTGTGAAATTTTTGAAGTGAGGTATAAAGTATTGAAGAGTTTAAATATGAAATGACTAATAAAATTTGAATGAATTGTGAAAGATTTTTCTCAAAGAAATTTCAGAAAAAAAAATATAAGATGACTAATTTTTTTAAAAGATGAAAAGATAAAATATAATAAAATAATAATATTTAAATAATTTTTATAATTTATTAACGGACATGGATATTCGATGACACAAATATTACTAAATCATTATCAATATCCATTAACAAATGAATATTTAAATATTCATTTATTTTATCAATGAATATCCTTTAAGTTACCCCCTCATATCCGTGATGAGTTTTATTCAAAAATATTTGCGGGTAAGAATTTTTTTATCATCCCTATTTATAAGCTTTTCTTTGACTCGTTGCCTTTTTTATTAATTTGTTTCAATTTTTTTTAAAGAAAAAATATGACATACTAGTAATCCTTTTTTAAAGAAAAACTTTCAAGTTGTTTCAAATTTTTTTTAAAAAATCAAATTATTTTAGCGTTGCCATACTTTCAAAAATTTTATATAACAAGATAAAATGATATATTTTTATTAAATAATAATATAATATTTTTTTATACTGTCAGTCTACTCTTATTAAACTTTTTATGTTTTTTTTAATAGTTCCATAAATAATATTTTGGGAAAAGTTATGATACGTCTACTTTTGTTTTAGAGATTTTATTATGATTGAGACTTTTTAACTCCTAACATAGGAATATACGAAATAAAGCCAAGTGACTCAAATGCACGTAAACATAAAGTGCTTGTATTGTTATAGAAAAAAGGCAATTTATTTATGTTTATTTACTTTCCAAATCTCGTAATTATCACACTTTAAAATGCATCAAAAAATATATTATAATAGGAATATATCATCAATTTGATTTTTAAATTATCACATTTTGTAATACTGAGTATACGTGAGTGACTTTATAACAACAGAATGCGAGATTTGGCACAAAGCTGGCATTTCTTTGTCGCATTCGTTATTAGTCGCCCAACCCGATCTAATGTGTTTGATTAAATGGACATTTGACAAGAAACTAACGTATAAGACAAGTGAAACATGTGGTCTATATTTGCCCATAAGTTTAAAATTAGTGGGAAGAATTAAATATGGGACAATGAGTTGGGTTGGGGGAATGTTTTTCTTATATGATGATCTCATGTATTGAAAGGAAAAAAAAGGATTAAAAAGAGGGTGGGGTCAATCCCACAAAAGAAGCCTCAAAGATAACATTGAGAATATGAAAAATTAAAGTTAGGCATATTAGTTTGTTAAACACTCTATTCTTTTTAATTATGAAGGGTGGTGTGTTCCATCAAGTGAAATTAGTATTTTAAACTCCAGACAGTTTCAGTCGGTTGAATCAATTATATCGAATTATAGTTGTAATTGACTCGGTGAAAATCGGTGTGACTTGATTGATTCACTGATGAGACTATTGAACTAGTGAGTATCAATAGGAACATTCTCCTCAAAATTTAATATTAAGATCTATAGGGGTATTTGTAGGACGACATTCACTCATTCCTGTTTCTTTCAATAAGTCTAGAATGTATTTCTGTTGTGAAACCACAATATCATTCTTTGACCGAGCAACCTCCATGCCTAAAAAATATCTCATGAATCACAAGTCCTTGATTTTAAAGTCTACTGCCAATTTCCCTTTTACTCTTGTCATTTCCACTGTATCGTCTCCAGTAAGGACAATATCATCAACATAAACAGTCAGGACAAGAACTTTCCCATCATTGGAGAATTTTGTGAACATAGTGTGGTCAGCCTGTCCTTGGATGTACCCTTGATTCTTCATTGACTGAGTGAATTTTTCAAACCAAACTCTGGGGGACTGCTTGAATATATACAAAGACTTATTTAGTTTGCATATATTTTATCCAAATTTGTTTTCAAAACCAAGAGGAATGTCCATATATACTTCTTCTTCTTCTTCTAGATCACAATTAAGAAAGACATTCTTAACATGTAACTGATATAGGGGTCAATCCAGATTAACAGCAAGAGATGAAATAATTCTTACAGTGTTCAATTTTGCAACAAGAGCAAATGTCTCTGAGTAGTCTATACCATAGGTCTTAATAAAGCCTTTAGCCACCAATCAAGCCTTGTAACTTTCAATTGACCCATATGAATTATACCTCACAATAAACACACATTTGCATCCAATTGTCTTCTTGTCATCTAGTAGCGACGTAACACTTCAAGTTTTGTTCTTTTCAAGAGCTTTCATCTCCTCAAGTACAACTTTCCTCCACTTTGGAATTTCTAGAGCAACCTGTACACCTTTTGGAATTTTTACACTAGACAATTCTGAGGTGAAGGCAGACATAGATGAAGACAAATTTGAATATGAAATAAAATTAGACAATTGGTGTTTAGTGCAAGATCTGACAGGTTTTCTAATGGCAACATGATCATCTATATCTGGATACAAAATACGACTCTCAGTAACAGAGATAGACTTGCATTTCTTTTTGTTAGGAGGTTGATCATTCTCTGGTTCAGATTCCTGGCAGTGTTGAGATGTGGACTCGTCCCTTCCTTTATGGTGCTTTTTCATAAAAACCCTCCCTTTCCAAGTCCTATTTCTTAATTCAAATCTGTTTTTTTTGAAGTGGCTCATTATTTAGTGGCATTTCAATTAGTTCATCATTATCATCGTTTTCAGGATTCCCATTGTTTTCTACAAGAGAAAATTAAAATTATGGCACTCTACCACACGTTGATATTGATGTCCTCACATCAGAATATAATGTGAAGATAGATGTTACAATATCTTCTGTCTAACAGAACAAATAACATGGAATGAAAAATCAAATGCAAAATGATAAATAACACATCAAATTGTTAACCTAGTTCGGTGCAACATCACCTACCCCTGAGGGCTACCAAGCCAGGAAGAAAATTCACTATGATAACATTAGTTCAAAGCTAAACTTCATCGTTTATAACTTCTCATTTAATCACTATCTTGTACAACTTCTACCTAGAAACCCTCTAGATATGAGATCCCCCTCTCATTTCCTAATCAGTCACAATCCCAGTGACAATAACTCAAGAAACCAAAAAGAAAAAGAACATTCTTTCAACTACAATACTTAGTTTTACTTACAAGCTTCAACTAAGAACAATACACTCTTGCTTAAAAGATTTAGAGTGGATAATTAACAACATACAATCGATCAACCTCAATGTATCAAAAGATACATGGGTGACTTACAGAGTCACACAAATAAGACTATCAAAACCTAAGACTCTAAAACCTCTCCTGGTTTTTACAAAAGTGAAAGTCGTCAAGTACATTAGGTCTTCTTGAAATAGTCTTCATACCTCGTGGGCTTGGGATCTTAAAGCGCAATTCATCAGGAATCAGCTTGGAATCATAAGCATAATCTCCTACACAAAAATAGGAACAAAATACAAAGTTTCCTAAAAAGGCTCAACAATCCTTTTTGAAGAAAACCATCACAATCTGTCAAAACAGAAGTTCACACAATATCCTCCCTTAGATAACGCAAACGTGTGAATTAAAACACACTCAAAAATCACACTAAAAATACCAAAACATTCATGCCCTAACTTTCTAGTATAACATGGCATGGCACATGTCACAACATCATACTAAACATGATGTCTGACTGTCATGACAAAGAATTTAGCGTAACATCTTGCTCACATCAT